TTTTTAAATGACTTTTGTAAAAAGATAAAAATCACCCATATTCACAACATAAATCCTGAATTGTTGGAGGTTAAGAGAAGAAGAGTTACCTCTTGCACTTTTCTTAATAAGCTTGTTACCAGCCATTCTCAGAAATAAGTGAACAGACTATATTGATCATGAGCCTGACCTGTTTGCTACATTCATCCAATACTCCCAGGTAGTCATCTCTTATTCAAATTATATTTGAGATGTTTATGAAAGACAAGTTCATAAATAAATTTATTCTTGGCAGATGAAAATGGATAATTCCCCATAAGTATGATTAATGAAGAACAGAGGTAGTAATTTCGTTAGTTAAGGGGGGAAAAGCTCCCAAAATCTGTTTTCATTATCTGCATAGGATTTTCCTTTAAAATCATCAGGAAAAAAAATTACTTTTTTCATCCTCTATAATAAACGTATCACATGGTTATGATTCAATATGTTTTACACTACACTGGTAATTCTCATTATTCTTCAAATATCACATCTGAGGAGGTTAATACACCATTAACATGATTAACTTTTTAATAGAAGTTAAGCCATATGGAACCAATCTGCACCATTCGGCCATATAAATGACTAGATAGTGAAGGTCAGCCTCTGCCCCACTGCACCTGTGCAACTTCACTGGTTTCACTTGGATTTGCAGGCCTAGACTAAGGGAGGAACCTCTCTCTCTATCTAGAAACTGAGAGTATAGGCAACTTTTTATTTCTTCCCAGAACAGGCATAATCCACGAAAAGGCAGAGATGAATCGATACTCTAGAGAGGTCTGCATACAACCTGCAGAAAGCCTTTGCCACCAGAGAAGCATTCCTCCAGATTAATTCGGGTTCATGGATACGAATCACATCCTTTAACACAGTTTGGCAGGAATAGTGAATTTTGTTTATTATTTCCTCTGTCAGTCATTAAATCTGTAAAATACAGAGTAGCTGACTAAACAGTGCAGTTGCTCAAAGGAGCAGTACCATCGTTTCCCAAAGCTTTTTGCCCCTGCCAGGAATACAGGGACGATACCATGCAATTTGCTTTTCTGAATCAAATCCTGCGCAGCTGATCCCAAGGTCCTGAGACAGCAAAGCATGCCAGCAGACATGTCAGTTCTACGGTTGATGGTAAGCACAGGTAACGTCAAGCGAACTCTCAGACTGAAGGATGTTCTCTGCCCCTAAAAGCACACAAGCCTTGTCCCTCCTTTATCCCTTCCCCCAGCTCACTGTCCACAATTTCCTTGCCATTTGCTCTAATAGACTTTGCCTGGAAGAGACAAAGGCTCATGTTTCTCTTTGTCCAGCCCATCTTCTTTCCCGTGTTACACCGTGCCTCTCCTCTCTTCTCAGTTCTTCTAAAGGTGTTGTGGAAATAATACATTTTACTGACCCAGCACCTCCTGGGCAGCTGGTTCCCACAGCTGCAGTGCAAAAGGCAATAAAGATAAAACATAGCTTGGCAATGAATCACAAGCCTGAACAGATCTCAGAGGTCAGCGAGTCCATCTCTCTGCCCCAAGGGAGGCTCAGCTATCCCCATATCATTTCTTACAGACATCTATATCACATGCTTTTAAAAACTTCAGTGACAGAAGCTACACAAGCCCTCTAGGCAATATAGGCCAGTGTTTCACCACCTTCGTATAAAAAAGTTCAATCTTTCCTCACAGGTCACATTTTCTAGGCCTCAGGTCTTTCTCCTCTCTTTCTTTACGAGTCTCATCAGGTCGTTTCTCCATACAAACAATTAAAGCAGCTTCCTTCAAAAATCACTTTTGAAAGTGATTGAAAAGCTTACTGTGTATTGCTCCTGGAATTAAATGGCCTTATTCCATCGTGCAACAATGACAAAATTATTGAAGCCCTCCTTGTTTAAACTCCATTAGTTTTATTGCAGATATACATATGAAACAGGAGAAACAAGTCCAGGTAGTCACTGTTGTCATATGTGTGTCTATAACAGCTATTACCAGAAATAGTATACTATCCACAGTAAAACATCAACCATCAAATCAAGGCATTTTTGAGATTTTAGAACCAATTCAGGTTCCCATAGTCAAGGTAAAGCCATGTTTGATACAGATAAACCCAACGTTACAAAACAATGGCCCATCAAAGAGACGAAATTTGACTTTGCTCAAGTAAGCGGTTTCATTAGGAACACGCTCAGTCAGTCCACTAGCAAGAGCAGAGCAAATCAGATTTGGCTCACAGTTTCCTGTACCCTGTGAATTCATATGTCACCTGGTTATTATTTTTTCTAAATCATCAAAGAAGTAAAAGAGGAAGAGAACAAAATACTATAGTTAACCCACATCTTCTTGATTATTGTTGGCGTAGGGAACAGAGAGGAAGGGAATAGAGAGGAAGAAAGTGCATAAAAAGGTCAGAAATACCTCATTTTGTGAATTAATTTAGTCTGCTGCATGGAGCAGCAAGGACAGAGGACACCTCTTAACAAGATTTTAAAACTCTGAAAACAGAAGATAAAATTGTAGTTATTCACAGACAACAACAAATCAGTAACTTCTCTAATACACTGGATACAATATAAAGTATTTCTTTTGTTTTAAATAGTGGATTACAAAAGCCAAAGACCTCAAAAGAAAGACTTGGGTTTGGCCCCAATGAAATTGTTTTCCAATATAACAAAGTAACGCATTACTGCCTGCAAATGCATTTCTGTATGGATGTTACTATCATTCACGCAGCACTAACATATCATAGGACCAAATGCAAAGACTGTGAAAGGACTTCACGCCTCTAGAGATGAGAAGTGCTAAAGGCTTTTTCATGGAGCCAAATCTTTAAACATGAAAAAAACCACCAAACCCAAAAAGTAACAGAAAAAACAAAGCACATTTTAAGCACCGGTTTAACTCACATATTCATTATGCATTTTAAACAAAGTGCATCAATGAGAAATTAAAATTTGTGATGGCCCTCTTTGAGCTGAAGGTGTCCCTGGAAAAATTTCACAGATAATCCATTCCCTCATGATTTTCATGATCTTTTAAAAGATCATGTGGCAATGTCAGATATAACAGATGTGAAGAATTTTATTACAGCAGACCACCTGAGCATTCCCAAGAAACACTAGGACTAGTCGGAGCCGAAGAACTAACATTTTGCTACTGAAGGTTTCCCATGCTTCATCTAACTCAAAATCAGATGCCAGCATATTTCATGATGACTTCTGATCACAGGGAAAATAAAATACAGGCCAACATTGATATCCAAGGTTTATTTTGACCCACTTCAGACAAACTACTCCATGTGCAACCATGGAAGAAGATTTAGCTCTTCTGATCCAAATATCAAATGAAGATAAAATGTGAGAAAATCTAACACTTCCATCAGCAGTGTCCCCTAAAATGCTAAAAATCTCCATCTAGTTTTTAAAACACCCATAACATATAAAAAAAGAATACTGATCTGCAAAATCCATAAGGGATTATTTTCCCCAGATTACAAAACTGACAGAATTGAAAGTCTAAATTTTAACATAGTTGCACATACCTGTGTGAATATACATCTGAATCTCAGTATGTAGCAAGTACATTGCAGTAACTATACTGTGCATTTTTCAGAATCTAAGGTATAAATTTAGAAATTTAAGGCAGTTTCTTCAAATGTTATTACAGGTGGCTACATTTCAAAATATAAATCACCATTCAGACAAAAAGCATCAACCAAAAATTCAGAACAAATTAAAAAATGCACCAAAACATGACCCAGAATGCAAAGAATGTCCTAGAGGCAAGATTAGCAAACAATTACAACAGCCAGTGGTAACAGTTACAGTACTCAGCATTTTTAATTTTTCTTCTGAAAAATCTGCTTTGTATTCCCTGTATGGCAAAATCATCCTGCTGTTTTCTACATTCTAAAAAAATGCAAATCATGAATAATCGAGAGAGCATCAGCTGATCACATTTCAGGATGCAGCATGGGAGTATTAAGTGACCGAGCATTGATCAAATGACGACAGAATCTGGAGACTGAGTCTCAAGTCGTATTGGTTGACCCTGATGTTAAGAATGTTCATATTATATAAGCCTGCACTGAAGTACTGTTTCTGCTGCTGGAAAGTGCTGTTAAAACTCTGCACACACAAATATATTTGCAAAGTCAAGCAGCTACAAATACATTTCTCCTGTTCAATCAATCAATCAATATTAAAATGGCCTGCTTGTAAACCAACTTTCTGGCAAGGAAACATGGATCAGTACCTGACCCAACCATTTCACGGGTCTCACGGTAAATTCTGTTAGCATTTAATGTGTGTCACCTGCAGGAAAAATCCTTTTTATGTAATAAACTACCAGCCACTGAATGATTTAAAATGAAGGTACCTTTTCTTTTCTCATGTACCTTACACATGCACAGACGACGGAAAGAAGGCAGCAATATTTCAAAAGATTATGCTGCACATCCCTTCTAAATGTATACGGTTCTCTAGGGAACAATCAACTCAGCAATGTCTGTGATGCTCAGGCTAAATTACCAAAATGAGATGCATAACCTTTATTACACCAGCAAACAGTTAGCTTTACAGATTATTTCTCTTACTTTAGTGCTCTTAAATCTTTAATCTCTTTTTAAGTAATCAACTGCTTCCAATCTTCCACACTGCAGCTACTGTGCATCCAATGCCAGGTGCTGCACACCTCACTAGCACAAACTCAGCACAATGCAAGACCTTCTTTAGCTCATAGAGTTTCATATACTGCCATAGCACGACAGAATGCCTTCGAGATTTAGCAAATTCAGATTCTGTTGCTACATCACACAGAAAAAACGCCTTGAAAGTCTACCTGGTTTAAAAAAAAAAAAAAAAAAAAAAAAAAAAACCAAAAATAAAAAGAGAGAGAGAAAAGAAAAAAAAGAAAAAGGAACAGCATACATCTCCAAACATGACAGAGCATTTCTGGCATAGAATACGCAATGCAAGAAGAGAATGATAACAGTATTTATGTTACCTTCAGTCACATAGTTGTGGTCTCGAAGAAAGCTGTGGTTAATTTTTCGTGTGTCCGTGTCCTCGCCCATTTACAGCAGGATTACTCAGCATGCCTATCCGCAGTGGACTGATAGCATCAGCAGAGGTCGTCACAAGAGCACCATCCATGCTGCCACTGCCTAGCAGAGGCGGAGAACACACCGGGCTACTGAGCACAGCATAATGAGAGCTGGTGATGCAGCACAGATTCGGAGGGGGGCGAATAACGATCGGGGGGGGAAAAAAGGAAAAAAAAAAGTAACGGGAGAAAGACGGAGGGAGAAACGGCTCCGACAAATTACGAATGCAGAAAGCCAGTAAGGAGCTTGCGTGAAGGGAATACAGGCACTTCTCCCGCAGTTCAAGAATAACCCAATTGTTTAGTCAGGTACTCCTTAAACAAGTGCCCACGCAGAGTCTCCTCCAAGTGCCTGCTGCTGGGGATCTTGCTGGATGCTGCAAAGTGGCAATCAGCGTACTGCAGCAAAACCCGCCCGGAGAAGGGCTCTGATTGCTGTTGCTGCTACTGCTGTCATATGCCTGTGCTGCATCAGAGCTGGCCCCTCCCCGCCAGCCGCCCGCTGCCCAACCGCACAAGATCTGCATGTAGAAAAGTGAAAAATGAGACTGCAGGTAATTATTTTAGCTCTTCTGCTGGTAGGATGGGCAATGAAAAAATTAAAGGGTGGTGGGGGGGTGTGGGACAAAAAACTTCAAGCTGCTTAAATGGGTTTGCATTGACACGTACAGCATGCTAACGGGCAACCACAATTTTGTGCTAGTCGATACTGTCATATGCAGCAAAAGCAACAGTCGTTCAATGTCAGCCTGTATGAATATTACTGAAATCGCCAAATACCTGCCCATGCAAATGGAACCGTTAGAGGCAAGGCAACCATTTGGAAAAAGTAAAATAAAATAACTGTTATTTATCTTTTATTTTTTGCCAGTTTTGTAGGTAAAAGACAAATTTCAAAGCATGAAAAAAAACAGGGCCAGAAAATAATCTTTGTGGCTTCCCTGCACAGGAAAGGAAAGCTGGACAAAGGGAAGGTCTGCAGGTCATGGGGTTTTCTTACACCTGCTACTTTCATTCACTGCATTATCCCATCACCTTGAAAAAGCAATGTTGAAACCTGTATACTCAGAAACAGGCAAACAAGTAGAAGAGGAAAATTACTCACTTGCATTATAAAATAAAGCTTGTTCTTTAGTCCAAGTGTTCAATGGCTTATATTACAGCAGAATTCTTTCAACTGAACAGTCAAGTAGTTTCCTTAAACTTTCAGTATCTGTTCATGAAACCATGAACTGTTTGATGCAGAAGGCACATATTCTGAAAAGGTATAAGCACCACTGAAGTTTAGAAATTTGACTAGAAGACAAATGGCTGCCTACCAAAGTCATCACTACAGCATGAGAAGGGAGTACACAATTATAAAACCAATTTAGAGGACAAAAGGACAATCCTATGGTTTAGGCCCTGGAATTGTACACAAAAAATACAATCCAGTTACCAGCATTATTACAGCATTTTGTGTAATCCTGCATGAATCTTGTAGAGTTTTTTGGTTCTGTTTTTGCTTCTTTTTAATGAAGCTAGGACATACGGTTCCTGAGGGCAAATTCAAGTACCCTGCTATTACTAAAAAATGGGCAGGTGACTTTGGAGAAAGTAGAGAACTACGTAAAAACCTGCCAGGGATAAACATCTAATTTCAGGATGAAGTAAAGTTGGAAGAGAAAGAAGAATAACAATGGAATGACCTTCTTCCCTTTCTCATAGATGAAGCAAAATAAAACAGAACCATCTTCAACCTAACAAATATCAAGTCTTCACATTTGAAAAGGTGGGAAAGTAGAAGAAGTTATTCAGTACTTGCACCTGTATAGAATACATTTTATACATATGCAGCTTTTGTAGGTGACAATACTAGAAATGTTATTTCTGTACTGAGAGCATCAGTCAATACTGTGGTCGTACCTGCAGCTGTCCAGCATCTGCCCTACCCTCTTCAGTCATTTGCAGTCTACCCGTGCTTGTTCATACCCCAAATCCCTTCAACTCCAGGATATCCTGTCTGCTTGCACACTGGTACCATCCACTTTTCAAGGCTGTGCACAAAAACAGTTCTCTTTTTCAGTTTAGAGGGTAAGCATGCCAGCAGCACCACACAAACCAGGACCTCATGACTGGCAACATTTTCCTTACAGACATGCATGGCCTGGCACATACCTCAAGCCTTAGCTACAAAGTAGTATCCCAAAATAAGGATCCAGTCCTGCCAGCAGCTTTGGATGGACCATCTTTAAGTACATTATTCTTAATTTTCTACGTGTTTATGGCAAGCAAGTACACTGTAAATACTGGATGACAATGCTAGCTACAGTTCAGAAAGTAACTGTGAGACTTTGTAAATATAATGAATTGGAAAATACACCTAGAATTTGATTGAAACAACAAAGAAGCCTTGCAAATATTGATATTTATTTTTTTGACCCTAATCTACGTGATGGAGCTGGTTTATTTTTCCCCTTCCTGCCACATTATTTTATCATCTTGGATTTCTTCTTGCAAAGACAAAAGGGTTTGTGAGTGATACATGTGCCACATGAAGTCCACTGAGGTCAACAGCAAAGAGTACAAGAAACAGCAAGTTTACACGTAACTATTTAACGCCATGGTTAGACCAACTTGGGTCAAGAAGGCACTTCCCTTCAGCATTTGTGCAGGAGACAGTCAAACTGTCTGGTCTTAGAAAAATAACCTAGATGCTTCTGTTAGGAACCTAAGCTCCCTATATACTCGCTGTAGCTTTTGGAGGGCAATTAAGAGCATCTGAATCAGAAGCCTCACTTTCTCTGTTTTGTATATTGGCTGCCTAATTTTCTTGGTCAGGGACCCAACTTAGATGCGCAGCATTAGAGAGTGTGGATTCCTCTGCGCAGGCACCATGGAGCAGCTCCCCCCACTGCCAGGATGACTGCTGAAACTGGAAGACACGTCGCCTTGCAGGGCGTCTGAGCCCAGAAATCAAGTAACACAGTTTAGTAAAAATGCATAGGAATAATTTATATCTACAATCATACAGAAAATGAATATGTTTTCTTTCCTTTCCAGTAAAAAGAATTATATAGAAAATTTATTACTGAAAATAAATAGATAATAAATTATGTAAATGATATGTAAAGTCTCAAAAAAGCCACATGGACAGTCTGTGAAAAAACACTGCAAATCATTTTCTTTGTAAATACCTCTAAATTTCTGTGACCAGGTCATCTGCAATTTCTACAGTGCTTGAGAGAACATTTCTGCCCTTCCACCTAAGCTCACCAATCATTGCTCCTTATTTGTCCTGGATCAGTTAAAACTTTATGATTTCTATGGTCTATCATTTTGAGCTTCCTCCCCTTTTTTGTTAGGTGTAATTTAAGCAGTTAAAGGTGTTCTACTTTTTTCTAGGAGTCAAGTGGACTTTTTTTTGTGAAGTCAAAAGAATTATTCCCATCCAGAGAAAATCTTCTCCTCTCACAATTTGAATTAGAGAGGTTCACATATAACTTCCTTAGGCATCACATCTGGGTCAGACCACACTTACCCTGTTTTTCCCACTTTTAAGGTAAAAAAAAATTCATAAGAAGGAATGGAGTGAGGAGGAAGCCTTTAACAAAAGCACTAGACAATGTTCCTTGTGTGCATGCAAATGCCTTCCCCAATATTATGAGCCAAATCCTTACTGTGTAGTAGTCCACTGACTAAAGTAGGTCAGTTCACATGAGAAAGATTAGCAAAATTCTGCTCTAAATTAGTAGCACAATGCAAATTTGTGAGACAATGTTTGTGGATAACTAGCTGTGCCATTTTAAAATGCTACCTACATGCTAACCTACATAATTTGATCTGGTCAAATATCCAGGGAGAGGGTAAGAAGAAAGGAACCTTTGATCAAAAACGTATTAGTTATTTTTACTTTTGTGGTAGTTCACAGTCCTACTCATAAAACAACCCACTAATTGAGCTGAATACTGTACAAACACAGAAATAAAAGAGTGCCCTATCCTAAGGAATTTACAACCAAACTATAAAATGGAAGAGCTACGTACAGATCAGCAGAGACATTTAAGTAAACAGTGAGTCAATAATGAGGATGGAGTCCTGGTTTCGAGCTTTCTTCAAAAGAAGGTCATTAGAGACTGTGAAGAGCAGCAACAAAAAAAAAACTCGATTCAAGAGGTTGAAAAATAACTGTATAACAGGAATAGAGCAAGCTTAGAGGTAAAAGGAGGAAGACTGGATAGCAGTTCAAGAGCTTTTTCTTTTTTTTTTCTCCTCTCCAAAGACAGAAGAGACTAAGCATATTAAGATGCATTCTAAAGAGTAAGATGTTCAGTGAAAGTGTCAGTGGAGAGTAAGAGACAAGAAGGAAAGTAAAAGACAAGGGCAGGCACGACACAGATGCCAATACAGACTGCAGGTGTCAATAAGAAAATAGAAGAGTTAAAAGGAGCACAGCAAAGGAAAATGGGATCTGTGCCACGAGGAGAAAAACCTGATGGGATAGAGAGAGAACATAATTTGAGGAGAGGAACAAACCTGTATTTCACTTTGTCAGAGTTTTGGGGAGAAGGATTGGAGAAAGGGGAAGATTGAGAAAGAGGAAGATTGAGAAAGAAAAAAAAGGAGCCAGCAATTGAAGCAGAAGGCAGCCAGCAGCCCAAGGAACAAATCAAAACGAGCAAAGATACAACTGGAACTGAGAATGTAAGATTTGGTAACAGTGTAGCCTAACAGCAGTAAGGAACTGAAGAAGATGAGAAAAAAAATCTTTGCTTGAATGACTGTTGATCACGTTTCTTCATCCCATTCATCCCACATAAAAAAAAGACCTGGACCTGTTGGAGAGAATCCAGAGGAGAGCCATGAAATTCATCAGAGGGCTGGAGCACCTCCCCTATGAGGACAGGCTGAGAGAGTTGGGGTTGTTCAGCCTGGAGAGGAGAAGGCTCCGAGGAGACTTAACAGCAGCCTTCCAGTACCTGAAGGGGGCTACAGGAGAGATGGGGAGGCACTCTTGATCAGGGAGTGTAGTGATAGGACAAGGGGTAATGGGTATAAGCTGAAA